CTCTCTCTCTCTCTCTCTCTCTCTCTCTCTCTCTCTCTCTCTCTCTCTCTCTCTCTCTCTCTCTCTCTCTCTCTCTCTCTCTCTCTCGCTCGCACCCTTGCGTTGGACGCAGGGGGAACGCGTTTGTCGCGTTGACGCGTTTGGGCTCGCGTGGCAAATGAGGTGCGGCCTTACTGAACGACCTTTTTATGTAGTCGTTCCCCCAGCAGGTTGTCCAACCCCGGTACCCCGCGGAAGCCCTGCTTGACGTCGGGCCGATATCACGCGAGTTTTTCATTTAAAAAAAAAAAAAAACTGAATGCATGAGGCGGTACCTGACAAGGGTCCCCACCACCCCACACCTTCAGAAACCCCGAACCCGCCCCCCAAACGCTCGAAAACCCGGTTCACGGACCTCGTTAATTCGCGTCCAACGCGCATTTTAACGGGATTTTAATGTGAATTTAACGCGAGTAAAATTATTTAACCCGGAGCTTGCGTTAAATCCAGTTTCGGACACACAGTTTTTCACGTTTCACTCGCAAACTCGAACACATTCACAAAGTGTGCCGCCTGTCATGAACTAAAAGAACGTATAGAATATGTTGCTCTTCCTCGAGATCGAGATCGAGATCGAGCTCAAAAGGATATGAAAGCTCACCAAAGGCGGCAAGTTCAACACAGACTTGACTATAGTCGAGCGAAGACTGATTCGATAGTCCTTTTGAACGAGCGTTTGTGTCTCATTATTGACGGTATGGATCAGAAGAAGACGACTATCCCCCATATTGGTTAGGCGAACTACTCGAAAGCACTTAGGCACGAGATGATGATGAAGACAAATCTGACAGGTGGCATTGCACACGGTAGAGACCTTAGTATTTATGTCTACACGTGGTTTCCGTAGTTCAAACACGATTCAAACACAGTCGCTACTTGTCTTATGAGAACCCTCGTCGGAATTCAAGCAAGCGGGACGCCACTGCCACCGTTTTTGCGCATTCAAGCTGATAATTGTCGGCAGGAAAACAAGAACAAGTACATATGTGCGCTAGCTACACTCTTGGTTGAGTTCAAAGTTTTTCGAAAGGTAGAAATAGGCTTCATGCTGGTGGGACATACCCATATAGACATTGACGCTACTTTCTGCGTCTTCTCGAATAAATTGAAAGACATAGACGCTTATACTAGGGACGAGTTCTACGAGCTCACAGAGCAAATCCCACAAAAAGCCTCCCAAATGTATTCTCTTCGATACACTGGCAGATTTGATAAATATTGTAGACCCATGTGTTGCGTCGGACATTACTGGTATTTCAAAACCACTCTTGCTTAAATTTTTGATGGTTGGAGATAATTTGGGCATGCTATAGAAGGAGTTTTGCAATCACGACAACTGGTTGTCCGAGGAAGGTCCGATTTATTGGTTCAATCAAACCCCGTTGAAAGCTACGCAGGTCCTTCGTGGTCATTTGACCCGCCTCATGTGCAACCCCTTCTTCGAAATGATTATTATAATGACCAAAATTGTGTTATTCGATTCAGTGAGTTGTCGATGTCAGTGCGAATACCCTTACAAGGGTATCCGCCCTGGTTTTTGCAAGTGACAGGAGGGTCTGGTTAACCTGGATTTTGAGTGCCCGTGCGAAAAAACACGAGGGTCGTCCCCATGCGGGCAAAGGTCTGCCTTGTCCTGGTAGGGAGTACGTGGGGACGCAAATTTAAGGCGCGCGTGTGATTTTTCTGATTGAGTGGGCGGCCGGGGTAGCCGACCGACCCGGACCGTGTTACGACCTTGGTTAGGGAATGAAAGTTTGTTTTTGATCGGTGCGTGCGGCCCAGCGGTAGGGCTGGTACGCCGATAAGCGTACGTGACGGCCACGGGGCGGGGTGGTAGGCCGGCGCGGGCACCTAGGGGCCGTGGGTACAAATGTGGGCCGAAAGGGTGGTCGGGCGGTATCCTGGTCGGAACGACGTGCGGCACCACTTTATATGGGAAACCTCGCCTGTTGGTCACAGGCTTGGGCTTAGCCCTATTGGTTACAACATCGGACTGGTATGCAATGGACACAGGGATCGAGGCCAACAGCATGCAGTAAGGGAGAGGAGGAGCGCGGCGGAAAGGCTTGAGGGGTTGATGGGCCTATGGGACTATCCCCCTCGCCTTTTACAACTATGAGAGGCCGCGGTTTTCGCCCGATTGCCACACGTTTTGCGGGATTTTACATAATTATTTGCGTATAGTTTACTTGTTTCGAATTTTTGTTGCGGTTAATTTTTCTCTCGTCACGCCCGTATGGGGGCGTGGAAATCGCAGTAGGTACACCCATGACCTATTGAAGTAAAAATGGGTGCTTGGACCCTGACGATGGAACTTGGTGGGGGGAAGCCAAGCAATCCGAAAGGCCTGGGGTCGGTTGCCTCCGCGGCCCAGGCTGTGTCCTTTAGGGAGGGAGGGCACGAGAAGGTCCGGGGATGAACCTGGACACGGTCCGCGCCAGGTACGTAAAGAGGGTGGCCCGGCCACTTGCTGATATTAGTGTCGTAGCACGCGGCGGGCGCACCCACCACAGTCTTGCCACGATAGGGGAGGGGCCAGGCCCCTGCTAAAACGGTACGAGGGGTACGGTTGCCGGTCCTTCGGGGCATCCGTGGAAATTAGAGCGACATCGAGAAGACCCCCTTGGCTATTATGTGAGGCAGTGGAGAAACCAATAACGAACGGGGGGAGGGGCTTGCATAGGCCATCGTGCGGGTGCGGGATCCGGGAGTGAACCCGGACAGGGGTCGCAGTCTGGACCATGCCCAAGGTAGACGACGTGGAGGAACCCCTTCGAAGGGAAGGGAGGTCTGCGACACGAGGAAGATTCGCACGACCGCCACGGAGAGGAGATATTCGAGGGTGAACCTGGATGGGAATCTTGTTAGGGGCGTGTGAAAGGCAAAAAGGGCGGATCTTTGTCATAGATTTATTTTTGTTTCAGTCTCCTTTTTTTTGTTGAGTTTTCGAGTTTGGCCAACTTGTCGACGCGGCCGTTGGAAAGGTTGGGAGGAGGGGAAAGAAGGTGTACCCGCCTGAACCCGGCCCCGGGAGGAGGCTAGACCCCTGCGCAGTCCTGTTAAGACAGGGTGGTACTGAGGCGCCTGGGGCTGTTCAAGCCTCGAAGGGCCGTGGGGTGCTCTCCGGCTCAGGTTTTGCAATATCTACTAAGATCGGGGCGCTATCGGGAAGACCAACTCGGTGCCTGCGCGGGGGCGACTTGTATAAATCGGGGATAATTTCTCCCCTTCGGTTGGTCGGTTTGCCTCGGCTCCGCTCCAGGATCCCTGGGCTTTTGGTCACATCATATAGCTGGATATTAGTGTGTTAACGGGTTGACATCAGCATGGAGCGGTGACGAGCGTGTATGGGCAGGGAAGAGACGATGGAGATGGCGCAGAGTGTTAGGCGTGACGGAGGCCAGACTCCATAATCGACTTGAATTGGGGCGGATCTGGGCGGTATAAAGGCCGGCCTCAGGGCATTTGGCCAGGGCGGTCACGGTGGTACAGTCAGTTCGGACGGAGAGTCGGCGGGAAGGGAGTTAGAAAGGGAAGGAGGCGTGAGGAGCGACGGCGGGGGCTGGCGGAGGTAGGATGGGAAAGAGAATGTCGCACTCGCTTTCGGGCGGGATCGACTAGAAGGACAGTGTAAATGCGAGTTTTGGGCCAGCGCGAATCCGATGGCAGTATCGTATGTCGCATTGAGGATGCGGGTTTGGCGGTAGGATAATCTTTAGTTGCGCTAGGGAAGATAAGCCTTTGCGTGGAAATGTATCTGACCGGGGCCTTGGGAAGATTCACTCGCTTTTTTTGTTGTTCACTCGACTGGCTTAACGTAAAGGCAGTCGTGATGTCGGGCGCTTGCCTACGGCGAGGGTGTCGCTCCTCGTAGCTGCCCCGGCGTGTGTAGGAGGAAGAGGCAAAAATGACCGTGCAGGTGTCCTTATTCTAGCGGAAGGTTCTCTCGATTTCCCCCGTCCTATCGATGGCAGTAGCGGGGAGTAGCCACCGGTTTGAGACTTACCTGTCAGCAGGTGC